TGCGAAGCTAGGGACCAACGAACCCCCCCTGCTGTCGTGCGGCGCCGAACCAATAATGGTTGATATCGCAGGCCGACTTCTGCATCGTGGGGGCTGCGAGGGCGCAGCTGAATGTCCCCTGCGTGCCTGCCTACGACTCCGGGTATGGTGGATGGGACAACAGAAGCAGCAAAGAGTTGCAGAGCTTTCCTCTTCCGCCGAGCTAGAAGAGAACGAAAACAGCAAGCACTGTGCAAGACATGATGCTACTAGAGAAGTAGCTGAAGTCAATGAGTTCCTGATGAGGGCAGCGAGATGCGCCAATGGCCAATCATTGAAGAGATGATTCGTATGCCAGGCCGCCTTCTTTCTTGGTGTCATGCCAGTTGGAGCGATGACTCTGTCTCAGCCGGGATTTCGGTGAATGTATGGGCGCCGGCGGGGGAGATGAGATCGTATTTGCGCGACACCTACGGATACCACAAGTATTATGAGTCGATCTCTTGCTGAAGTTGGTCAACATGTGATAATGTCGTAGGCTACCAGGGACCAATCTAGCTCGTAACTTGCTGTCTTCATTCTCGGACGTATTTGCCGTAATGCGTATGTTCCACGGGAGCTGCCTTGTTGACCCTGTTCAAGCCCACGCCATTCCCGGCCGTTTAGGGCCTGGTAGTGCATATGCGAATTGGCGGTCCCCGGTTTTTGACAGAGTTGCAGGGACTTGATAATGCCTGGAACGGTTTGGCTCGGGTCAGTTGGAGTTGACCACGGCTGGGGGGGGGCCGTTGTTGGAATGGTGAGAACATGTTATGCGGCCGCAACTGTGCTTACGATGTTACCGGAGGGCCCCCCGCCTGCTCTGCTGTGTTCCGGAAACAGCCTTGATATCTGATTTATTGACAAACTGCACCGTAGCACTGCGTTTGCCCGGTGTGAGGAGATATTGCAACTCTGCACCAACGTGCTTCGATAGCTCGCGGAACAGGTGAAGTCGTTGAGGTCGACTAGGGCCCGTTTGGTCATGTCAACTGCTTGGCGATGGGTGTCAGCACTCTGTGCAAGCCAGTCGAATAAGAGGCGCACCACCATTTCTTTTCTGCGTGGGGGCATTTGGGGCCAATGCGCAGTGATCCTTCAGCCGTCCGCCTCCATCTCACTGGACGATACATACATAGTCCTGTGCCGCTGGGCGGTGCAACAGTATCCGCATTGGCGAATTACTGGTCGTACTCAAAGATCAAGGATAACCCGCCATGGACGTCGTCACCGAAAAAGTGCACAAGATAATGATCTGGTACCCTTGCTGTCTGCTCCCGTGCCTCATTTCACAAAGACCGGCCGGACCGCCATCGATCAAACCTACGAGACTCATAGAATGCCGACTATTTGATGAGATGTCCAAGTCCTTCCGTCGGGAGGGATGGTCTCGCTCCCTTGGATTGCGGGGTCTGAGACACGGGCTACCGCAGCCGTCGACAGTTCCTTTCCGCGGATTGGAAATGGAAGGAATCCGGGGTAATTGATGAGAGGCTCTGGGCTTGTTGATGGAATTGGAACTCAAATCTCCGAGGCATTGTCTCCCAGCTTGACAAACAAAAACAACGTGATGGTTCGAACGAGGCAGAACACGCCGAATGTAAGCAAATTCTGATTGGCATAGTAGCCCCAATGGTCCGACTCAGATTGTGATGATGGGCAAACATCTCGCGTGCCTTTTGAGAGCCAGTCGAGTACCAATTGCTGACCTGTGCAAGTCGGCTAGGAATGTCATGTTGCGATGGGGCCAGTGCGCTATAGGCAGTCCGCTTATAGCAGACAGTCCTGGAGGCCATGTCAGTAGGTATACTCATAGGGCTGAGATGGTGCCGGTCGAACCTGTCTTAACCCTGCTGGCGAGCAGTCGAGTGCGTGGCCACAGAGGCCGGCTTCATGCAGTTCGGGGGAGCCGGTGCGGGATGATACCGTTCAAGACTGCAGTCAGCTTACAAACAGCAGATGCGTGGGCACTAGCTTAGTTTGTATCAATTGGCCGCTGACTGGGAGACCTATGATATGACGCAAAGCTGGCTACTCAGGTTGAAGACACGAGGCGAGGGATCGTAAGTTGCTTGCATAGGCCGGTTGACAGAGGGGGACCAAAGAAGAAGTGCAGTGCAGCACATGGTGCGGCGGGAGACGGGTTTCTAGGATGCCTTTTCCGGGCAAAACGTTGACAACCTGGCCGACACCCCGATTGCTCAATACCGCTGGGGGCTATGGTGGCTGGTTTCTCTTTAGCCATGCATGGCGTTTTGAAGAATCCCAACAGTGATTGTAGAGCCTGAGACCGTTTCAGGCGTCGAGAAAGCGTGACAGAGTCTAGCAGCTATTTGGAACTGCTGGCCAGTGTTGAGAGAAGGGTCGCTAGGAATAATCGTGTGCGACTGACTCTGAGGCGCTTGGCCATGGCTCAGCAAATGTTAGTCCAACAAGACGAAGAGGACATTTCCTATGGAAAAGCTTGAATGACCTATTCCCAGTTGCACCCATGAGGGATTACGGAAGTTAAGTCTTGGCATGGTGGTAGTGCTTGAGGGCCCAGGAGTGGCAGATGATGGCGTGGGTAACCCATCTCGAACAGAGCGTGTCTGAACTGGCTATGGCTGAAGCAAGCCGACTCAATGCAGTGGACAGTATCCCTAGGTCCGCCTAAGTCCGGCGCTGGGGTTCTGTTTGCGCTGATAGCCTGCACCAGCGAACGTCGAGCTGTTATGTCTGGGTCGCCAAGGCAGTTCTCGGGTATGAGGCATGAAAAGGGGATTGGGGCCGGGTCTGGAGGAATGCGAGGGACGCGTCGGTATCGTTGGCGCAGGGTCGAGGCGCTATTACAAGCAATGCGACTGTTGCAGAGCGGGCTTCGTAGGGATATTTGACATTGGTCGGGTCAAGTTGTCCATTGTTGATCATGAAGAAGTGCAACATCCTTGCGGAGATGGGTGGGGTGTCGTTGAAGTTGGGGATTACCTAGGTATTCACTGCAAACAACTCGGTGGTGAAACTCAATTGCCTCCATGCCTCTCCTTCCCTGGCAGCCTGGGTTGCCTGAGTGCCTGCCTGAGTACAAACCCAAGTACCTAAGTAAGGTACCTCGTCTCAGCGGGTCACCTCAGTTCAACTGGGAAGGAGGATCACCCGCCCGGGCAAGTACGAATAACACGTACCCAAGCGCGCTACCTTCCTCTCTTCTGTTGGCTTTTCCTCCAATCATCATGATGTTCTCAACGAATATCTATCAGGCTCGTCAAGACTTCTCTCTCAGGTACTCAGCTTCACGCATAGAGACTCAGGTCTGTGAGAAAATTGGCTGACAATCAAGGTGATAGTTCATCTACTCTGGCGTGTCTGGGTGGAAGGTTACGAAATTAGAGAATGAGAATGGAGATTGACTTTGAGGGTGGCATCGGCTAAGGACATTTTGAGTTTAGACTCAGGGTCTCCAGAGTCCAGAGATGAGGACCGCTGTAGGTACATAGTCTGTGGACTCGGGAAGCAGGAGCCACCAGTGGATTCCCGCCTCGGTGGATGGATCTTGGAAAGGTGGGAAGGTGGGAAGCTGCCCAGAACTCAAATCAGAAGGGGCAACGCCGGGCGTAATCCATCAGACAAGGAAGGAGCAGATGGGTGGAGATGTCTGGGGAAAGCACCACACAACAGCTGTTTCCTATTTTCTTATAGAGTTCATCCTCTGCCTCAGAATAATTGCACCACCAAGGTCAATAGAACAGAAAGAGGAAGAGAATGCAGAGGGGACAATATCTCAATTAGTAAGGTAAGTAGTATTGAGGCAAAGGTTTTCTTTCCCTTCCACTGTCTGTTCCTACTTTAGGTACCTTCCATTACGTTTCCCGTCTGTTTCTGTTCTCTCGACGCTTTGCAGTGGGATAATCTGAGCGAGTCGTAGCTTCCCCATCTCATTTCATCTCATCTCATCTTGCCCTACTATCTCGTACCTACCCGAAGGCGAGGCAAGCACCTCGGAATCCAATGCAGCTTTTGTCGTTGTATTCGTAAAGGGTACTGCGTATTCGCGCGTTCTTCTCGCCATTGCAGACACTGCAAGTCAGGCTGCAAACACGAGCTGTGCCGCAATTCATCGTATCTCTGACTGCCCAACTGCATTGAACACTGAATGCTCCAGATCAAAAACAAAAGGCCGCTTCTGAACAATATCGCTTCCAGAAGAAAGAAAGAAAAAAAAGGGGGGAATCCTCGCCCATTTATCCATCCACTCGCCGCCTTCCCCGAGTCCCTCCCTTCTCCAACACTCACTTTTCGGGCCTAGCACAACAGCCCGCGTCAGTAAGCCGCCATTCCCACTTGAGCACGCATCCGACCTGCAAGAAGGATTTCGATCCTGCACACACCCACGAGTAACCGTACGACATCTCCAACCAGCGGCCTATTCCCCCCCTTGCGGTTTTGGCGGTTTACCCCCTTGTCCCTGGGCAGATTAGCGCCATCTGTCAAGGAGCAACGCAACGCCAAGCTCGCCAAGCTCCCGCCGTCTTTGCCTTCTGGCGTCCTTTTTGCCGCCAAACCCAATTTCGAGTCGACTCGAGTCGAGTTCCCTTCTTCTGTGTAGCCGGCACGACTAGCTTTCCTTCCCCTCAACTTTTCCCTCAACCTTTTCTACGCACCTTTCTAGATCGTCAACATTCTTCGCTTCCGCCTGTGCCTCGTCGCCGAACTGCCGGCTGCTCCCGGCTCGTCCTCAGTCGTACCTCGCTGACTCTGTGGTCCGTCTGTCTGGGTGGTCTTGAAACTCTGCCGAGCCACGTCGATTGTGACATCCGACGCCTCACACGATCCGCCGTTCATCGAGTCCACGTTCAACCGACAGCCAGCCCGGCTACGATACCTAAGACCAGCGCGCCGACAACTACACATTTCGCAAACACCACCTCTCCTTTGAGCCGACGTCAAATCTTCGAAAAACTCCTCTTCAAGGGCATGCCGACGACATAGCCATCATCATCGCCATGATCCCCCTCGTCGTTCGCTCCCTCCGGGGAGCTGTTGCCCGTATCTCCCCGAGCGCATACTCCTACTCCCCTCTGGGAAACGTCAATTCGAGTTCAGAACCCTCATCACCTGGTGGCTCGAGCCCTCCCGCGCAATCCAGCTCCCTGTTCGCACGATTGACGGCAATCCTCTTTTTCCTGCTGCCCTCTTTCGTCCAGCGCCGACTCCGACCCAACGACTTCAAACACCGGCGCTTATATCCTACCTCGTGGCTCGATGGTCTGCGCGGCGTTGCATCGCTGATTGTCTTCTTCTGCCACTTCACAGAGAAACATGTTGGCTGGTTCACGGCGAGGGCATACGGCGTTCCCGATGAAAACGATCATGTCGCTTCCTCCCCGCTGCAATTACCCTTCTTCCGCGTTATCTTCAGCGGTCGGCCCATGGTCCACATCTTCTTCATCATCTCGGGCTTCGTTCTGTCTCTCAAGTCTTTGAAGCAGGCAAGGAGACATGACTACGATGGACTGCATCGCACCCTGTCAAGCAGTGTCTTCCGCCGTGGTTTCCGCCTGTTTCTACCGACCACTGCGTCTACGTTCATGATCCTCGTCATGATTCGCCTGGGATGGATGGGACAGCCCTTGCCTACACTGTGGGAGCAGCTGGTGGACTGGAAGAACGCAGTGTGGAGGATTACCTTCAGCTGGCAGTGGGATATTACCCAGATTCTGCCCTATGATGTCCACCTCTGGACCATCCCCATCGAATTCTCCCACTCGCTACTCCTGTTTGTCGTTCTCACTGGCGTGAGCCGCATGAAGACGTACTTGCGTCTCGCTTCGGTTTTCTCCATCATGATCTACTGCCTCAAGTGCGGCCACTGGGCCGGCTTTGAGTTCCTGGGTGGCATGTTCCTTGCCGAGGTCGGTTTGATCGAGGAAGCTCGCCAGGAGCGCAAGGCAGCCGCTCTGCAGAACAAGGAGGCATCCGACATGGAATCCTCGACTGCGTCGGACTCGTCCTCAAGCTCCCTTGCCGTTCGCGTGTTCAAAACTTTCCTCGTCGGTAACCTGATTTTTGCCCTGTTTGTGGCTGGCTGGCCGAACCAAAAGGCTGACATCACCCCGGGAATGTCACCACTCTGGCACAACACCATGGAGCCTTTCTTCACCATGGGTGGCGACCTCGTCTCCTTCCCCTGGTATGCCCTTGGCGCATTCCAGATTGTCATTACTTTGCAACATATCAAAGTGTTGCAGAACCTGTTCGTGACACCACTAGCGCAGTACCTCGCAGACATCAGCTACGCGCTTTACCTTGTCCACGGACCCGTTCTCGACGTGTTTTCGCATCGCTGGATGCCGTACGTATGGGCGCTTGTCGGCGGTAGGGACGAGACTGGCGTGATTGGGCGACTCGTGGCGTGGTTTCTCGGAATTGTCTTGCTTGGTGTGCCGACTGTCTGGGGCAGCGACGTCTTTTGGAGAACCGTCGACGTCAAGAGCGTAGAGCTGGCACGCTGGATCGAGAGTCTTTGCACGCGAGACGAGTAGTCGTCGAAGTAACGAGCCACGAGGCGAACAGCATCGGATGTGACGGTGTAGATGGCATATCGGCGTTGGAGGCGTTGAATACTGTGATATATATTGTCTTATTGGTTTTCGGGTGCACCTAGAGTCATGATGACATTCGAGTAAATATTATCGTACAGCTCTCAGTCATTCAGTCTCGGGTACGGTTCTCTGTGAAGCAGGTGGGAGGTGAGGAGAGGAGTTGTTGCGCCCCAAGGTAGACTGGTGTGAGCCTCCTGACGTTGCGTGTTTCGATTAACAGACAGATCGCACAAATCCAACGTAAGATGGCCGGCCACAAGGTACGAAGAAACGTGAGACGGAAAAGCTTTGGCTACACAAGAAAAAAGGAGGGGGAAGCGGATGTTTTAACGAAGGAGGTTTGAAGGGACAATAAACAGCTCAAGCATCTTCGGATAGCTGTGGGTAACCGGGAAGATGGGCCGCGTGGGATGGGGAATGGGAATGGGAATGGGAATGAGATAGTGGGCAGCGATCCGCCGGTCCCGGGACGGAGGCTTCATTGGGCCCGGGGAGCACTAGGCCCATCCCACCCGCCCCCCCTGTACCCTTGCCAAGACCCAGAAAACACGTCTCAATGGCGTTGATAAGGAGGCTGAAGCAAGTTTAGTTGGCATGGTCAATGGCGGACGGATGAGTCGGCCTGGGCTGCGGCGATTTAAATCAGGGCGAAGGACGTTTTAAGAGCTTTTGGTTGGTGAAAAGGGGGGGATTACGAAGTAGAGGCACTAGTGAGAATATAGATCGGATACCTTAGCAGAGGCTCGAGTCTCAACTGGAGGATTGAAATGCGGTGTCACTATAGAAGCCGGTGCTCCCGTGCCGAGATGCCATTTGCCTTTTCCTACCACCCGTCACGAAGTACTCAAGGTAAAGTACAGTACCTACAATGGGCGGATAGGAACGCCCGGGAGTAAGGCAGGGCTGTGCAGCCAGGAAGCCCATCCGTTCACTTACTCCTTGGTATTTGCTCAAGTGCAGAGAATCACGCCCATGAACATTTACAAGTACAGTGAAGCAGTAACCTATCAAGGAGGAAGGTACCTAAGTACTACTAAGATTTGTTTGTTTTGTTGTTCAACACCGATTCCTAGTACTACCTTGGTGTCTGTTCCAGAAGAGAGTGCCATCGGTAGCCCATACCTGGTAAGCGCCCCGGGGGAAGTGACGGTGCTGCGACGGGGTCCGTGGGTTTCCGGAGTGGGGGACCATCGGGGCGGCCCGTTGTGTTTCAATGATTCACGGTGTCTGCGCCGGTGTGCCAAGGAATGCATGCCGTGTGGACGGGATGGGGTTCAGGTTGTCGCAAATCCGTGCTGTGTACTCCGTAGTCAAACGTTGATCCCTCTGCCTTGGGAGACGGGCACACGGAAAAGTTATGGTACCGTTTGCTCCTCCAAGACCCGGGCGTTAAAGGGGTTTCCATCTCTTAACTCCGGCTCGGGCGCCTCTTGTTTACTCACGTCCTTTTAATTCGCAATAATGTCCGACAAACGAGACTCAAATATTTCGGCGATAGATGATCTGGAAGCTAAATGACAAGACGGAACTTTTGTTGATAGCATCTTTGAACCTAACGCCGACGAGATGCGTGCCGCTATTCAATTCTCGTAGTAGTAAAGACCGGATGAGTATGCACTATACAGGCAATGTCATCCCACCGGGCTACATTTGGTGGCCACTTAAACCAAAGATCTTTCAGGCTTCCCCTGGATATCCATTGGTTTTGGACTTTTGTCCCTTGTGAGCTGCAACCGAACGTGAAGGATCGCAAGCTGCGCACTACAGCTTCATAGCCCCATGGTTCTCGAGATGAGTTCTGGGCGTTCGGCTCCCACTCGCCTCATGCCCATTGGGTCTGGAGTTAAGAGGCTTCTTACTTGCGTCTGCAGATGACGGCGTTCGACTTGTACTACCACATGCGGAAGTGCGACGGGAGATGTAGATGGCCATGAAGCTTCTATAAAGACAAACATGCCACCTGTCTACAACTAATGCTGTCTCTAACGAAACATCAACGGCTTTCCACATCATCAATTCGTGCAACCATTGCCATACAAAATTCTACGCATTCCAGCAACCCCTCTACTACGACCAGGACACAAGAAGCCATGGCTCCCACGCTAGGCCGTGAAACAACAGGCACCGAACTCGTCGCCGAGTACGCCTCTCACATCGCCGGGAAAACAGTCCTCGTAACCGGTGTCTCTCCCGGCGGCCTCGGCGCCGCATTCGCCCAAGCAGTCGCCGTCGCCTCTCCGGCCCTCCTCATCCTCGCGGGCCGCAACACCACCAAAGTCCAACAGACCGCCGACGCCGTGACGTCATCGTTCCCGGCCGTTGCTGTCAAGACGCTTGAGCTGGACCTGAGCTCGTTCAAGAGCGCGCGAGCGGCTGCGGAGACTGTGAATGGGTGGGAGGATGTGCCTCACATTGATGTTTTGGTGAATAATGCGGGCATCATGGCTACGGACTGGAGCAAGACGGAAGATGGCTTTGAGAGCCAGTTTGGAACGAATCACCTCGGCCCCTTCCTTTTCACAAACTTGGTTCTGAAAAAGGTTCTTGCTGCAAAGGAGCCGAGGGTCGTGACGGTCAGCAGCGATGGGCACCGTTTGAGCCGTATTCGGTGGACGGATTACAACTTCAATGTCAGTACTCATGCTGTTTGAATCGCGCCTAGGCTGCAGACACTGACTGGAGAGCGTGGCACAGGACGGCAAGCACTACAACAAGTGGATCGCTTATGCGCAGTCCAAGACGGCCAATTGCCTCATGGCTCTCTCACTCGCCGAGAAGCTGGGCGGCGAGGGTCTCCTGAGCTTCAGCCTGCATCCGGGCGTCATCTTCACCAATTTGGGTGGCCACTTGGAGAGCTTTGATTCACTGCGTGAGTAAAGCACTTGTGAGGACGTGTTACTTGAAGAACTTGTCGCTAATCGCGGTGCGAACAGGGGAGACGGAAATCGTCATGGGCACCAAGAACATGTGGACGGAGTTCCACCCAAAGACGGAAGACCAGGGCATCGCCACTCATGTGTACACTGCATTCAGTCCTGACATCAAGAGTGAGTTCTCCAGCAGTGCTTCAGAGTCGCAGGTCATGTACCGGAAAGCTAATGCTGCCCAGGTCTCAACGGACAGTACTTCAATGATTGCCGTATTGCCGACCAGTACGATGAGGAGATCTACCCTTGGGCGAACAACAAAATCGAGGCGGATAGGTTGTGGAAGTTGAGCGAGAAGCTTGTTGGCCAGGAATTCAACTACTAGTGGCCAAGGAACATGTAGTCCTGAGGCTACAGGCGTCTCACATGGAAGTCTAGGATCTCCAACATGGCTTTGAACTCTATTCGTCATTATGTTTTAGTATCATTCATCTATCTGAATCCTACAGCAATATTACCTCTCCACTCTGGTATCTATGGCGTTGTAGGAAGGACATCACTCGGCTCGGGAGGTGCAGTATAGTCGCCAGGGAGGGTATCGACGGGAGGAGCCTGTACGTCGATGTCAGCGTGCGTTCATACTACCAAAATCAGACACCAAATTCTACTCACCTGAAGCTTCTCTGCCCATTCTTGTATCGCCTCGTAGTTCTTGCACATGTGCTTGGTGTTGAAGTCCGGGAATGGCGCCGGAGGGTCGCCGGCCCAGACCTGACCCAGAACACCAGTATCGACGTTGCAGACCAGGACTTGCCTGATGGTGTCTAGGCAATGTGCTGCCGAGGGTCAGCTATGGTTGAAGACGTTGAGAGAATGGCTTCCACTTACAAACATGGAGACGGACAATGTGCTCCTCGTTGGCGAAAGCATGCGTGCCCATCTTCTTGTAGTAGTCGTAATTGTAGTAAAGGGATTTCCGAACCAAGTTCTGTATCAATCATGAGCACCATACGTTGCAAGCTGAGTCGCTGCCGTTGGCTTACCAAGCAGTGAAGGTGATGCATTCCCTCGACGTTGACGAAGAAGCCCGCGCCGTACTTTTCTGACCTTCTTACAAAAGACATGTCGAGGCCGCTCTTCAAGCCGTCTTCAATTGATATGACCCCAGCGCGATCTCGAGATTATTAGCTACTAAGGTAGGCGAGAAGCCATGAAAATGGATGTTACTCACAATCTACACCCATTGACTCCCACGCCGCATCAACCTCTGGCGAAGCTTCCTTCCTAAAGATATCTTCCTGTAGGAACGATCCGTTGAAATGCTTCCAGTTGTATTCGACATCCACGTCTTTCAATACCGGCGACCATTGCGTCGTGTGAGCAGCACAAGCGCCATCTAGATCCGCTGTAGTCGATCTCATATGGGCACCCAAGTGCATGGAAAAGAGGTTCGAAAGGGCGAAGACCACAACTACAGCTACAGTCCTCCTCCAATCTCGTCTCCTCTGTGTATCATGTTGCCTCGCGTCGGGAACAGATTGCAGGGACTCGAGATCCTCTTCGGACTCTTGCACACGGCCAGCGAGCAGCCTCGAGCTCGACTCGTCTTCCTTTTCTTGCATCATGGTTTCGACAAAATTGGTATCAAGATGTAACAGATAGAGACAAAATAAAAGAACCGCCAGCAACGCGTCAAGAAAAAACTTGAGAGAGGGGAAGGATATGGAGCGATCGTGATCCAAGGGAAGCTCGTCCGAGGGAGCAACGGGCAAGACGGACTACCCAACGACTCTTGTCTGACATGAGGAATGCTCGCTAGCCTTCCAAGCACGGCTCACACATGTCCCTGTAGCTAAACAAAACGATGAGGCGTCTGTATATTTGGTGCGCCGTCAAGGTTGCCACGCGATTACCGAAAGCAGCTGGAATGCTCAAAACTCAATCGCCCGCCAACACTACCACACGAATAACATAACCCCCACCTGCCACGATCCAAGACACCAGAATTGGTACCTATCAGAACACGGCATCCGCGGCAGGAATGTCGCCGTCGATAGTTTGGCTGCAGCTGAT